CCCCGGCGGGGCCGCCCGTCCCCGTGTCCCGCTCCGGAGGGGATCCCGGCCCAGGCCTCTCCGGCACCCTTCCCTATCGCCCCCCCAGGAGTGCCTCTGTTTCCTTGCAGTAACGAGAAGGACCGGGCGAAAGCCCCCGTGAAGAAGAAAGAGGACCCGAGTGCCATCAAGGAGCGGGAGGTGTAAGTGTTGCCGACGCGTTGGGGCGGGCCGGCCATGGTGCAGGCTGCAACCGAGGGAGTTTCTGAGTAAAACCGTCGGAGTGGAAAATGGAGCCCCAAACCGAGGAATTGGGCTTGGGAGGCAGCAGAAGGCCTGACCGGTCACCATCCCACGCTGCCTTGTGTTGCTCCTGCTCGTTACCCTTCCTTCCTTCTGTGCGAGTTGTAGAATTGGATACGTTGTTATTTGCAGTTAACCGATTTGAATCCTTTGTCTTCCCGGCAGCCCCCAGCATCCCTCTTGCTTATTCTTCCAGTATAATACCCAGCTGGGCCCTCCTTATCACATCCTGGTTGACACCAACTTCATCAACTTCTCCATCAAGGCCAAGCTGGACCTAGTGCAGTCAATGATGGACTGTCTCTATGCCAAGTGTGAGTGTCTGCAGCCCTCCCAGCTTCTTCTGGGCCACGTAGTGCCGCAGTGTGCTTGTGATGTGCTTCATCAACCTCATCCTGCTAGTTGAGGGTTACAAATCTTGAAAAAGGGACACAGGCTATAATCGTTGAGCTCAGTGGTGGTGGCTATGGAAACCCTGGAACTGTCTCTGGTTTCAGTCAAAGAATGGCCTTAAATGCTAATCTCAACAAAGGTAAAGAATTAGTAACTTAAAATCTGAAATTACTGCGGTGCAGTCAAACTCAGTGGCTCTGCATTTCATCACTTTACAACCTTATCAGCTCTCATAAGTTTAAAACTGTAAGGAATGTGTTAGAGAGTTCCATGATGGCTCCTGGGTGCGTGGGCAATACGCAGGGGTCTGTGAAGGACCCTGGTTCTAACGCAGGCTTTTTTTGCGTATAGGTATTCCATGTATCACAGATTGTGTAATGGGTGAAATTGAGAAGTTAGGACAGAAGTACCGTGTGGCCTTAAGGTAGGTGCAGGGTGTTCTTCTCCGTTTCTAGAACTTAATATTTTAATATAAATAGAGGAAAAGCACTTTTCATGACTATGCTCTTGCACTAGAGGGTGGTTAGGTTGTTGCAGAGTCCCGAACTTGGTTTTACTTCTCTGACTGTATGAGAGCAGTACAATGGCTCGCGTTTTAGATTATTTTTTTTAAAAAACTGAATGCTAGGTATGATTGCACAATACTGATATGTAAATCTTTTCCCCCGCTAGGACTTTCAAAGTAACACTTCCTTCTGTTTGTCAAAATACATACAGATTTTTCTTTTTAATTGTAGAAATGTCTAAAAATAAATTAAGAAGTGACCCAAGTCGTATGGAACCTTTCACTCATGCCTCATGTTGTTCCCATAGGAGTAGGTAGCACATACTGATAAGAGAGCCAGGTTATTGTGTGATCTGCACAAAACTAGTCCAATGCAGTTCATGCTCTCCAGGTGTACCAGTCAGTTGTACTGTTCTTTACTTTTTATTTTGGCCTGTTGTGTTGTAAAGTATCCAAGGGCATCCCCTAAACAGCTGTGATGTTCCCCTTCAGGGAGAAGGTGAGTGCTCCTACGCACATGGTGCGAACGATCAGATACCAGAAGAAGTTGTGGTTCTTCCCACAGATGACTTGTTTCAAATGACTTTGTTAGGCAAGAGCCCAACATGGTAGGGATCTTGAATCAAACTAACTTAACCTATGATAATTAGCCAGACAAACTGCATTCTTTTCTTGCTCCTCATTTCAGTTGGCTGTTGCGTGCCATTCGCTCCATCCCCTCAGCCCTTGTTTTGAGAGTAACGTGCGGTGTCTCACAGAAAGGGGCGTTCCTGTTCCCCGTGCTGTGTTACTGGGCCGATCACTGTGATGCTGCCTTATGTGTTCCCACAGAATTGCCAAGGACCCTCGGTTTGAACGCTTGCCCTGTATGCACAAAGGAACCTACGCAGATGACTGCTTGGTACAGAGGGTCACTCAGGTATTTCTGTTTCTGAAATTTTCTATACTCTGCTAACATACTAAAAATTCCTGAACGCTTCTAGTTACTGATGACTTAAATTTTCCACAAAGTAACTGTAAAATCTCACTAAGGGGCCGTTTCATCCCTAGCACAACTTTACTTGAAGCAAGGTATAGTCTTCCGTGAGCATTCTTATTGTACAGGACAGCATCAAGAAGCACTTAGGGTGGGAAAGCTGTCAGCTGGGAAGGCTGGACAGACTTTGGATGTCTCTGCAAGTCTATTTTGATGAGCAGAAGGATGTTTATTCTGCTGTGGAATTCTGTACAAGTCCTAGTAATGCCTCGTTAAGGACTCCTAGCCCTCTTGTGCCTCATGAGCTCACTGAATAGAAGCTTTTGCTCACCTTTGTCTGCTTTTTGTGGGTTCACTGGTGTTGAATCTGGTGTGGTTTCTTTGCAGCACAAGTGTTACATTGTGGCCACAGTGGATAAAGAGCTCAAGCGGAGGATACGAAAGATCCCAGGAGTGCCTATCATGTATATTTCCAGGCACAGGTAAGGGACCTCTGGTAGGGAGGGACACGGCCTGGCACCATCCTGGTCCAACAGGGACTCTTATCACCACATACTTCTCTTCTGCATTGTCGATAGTGCAGCTTGCAGTAAAGGGCCTAGTATTTGCTCAGAAGTACAGCTGCTGCTGGGAAGAGACTGGTCACAGACCCACTTTTACTGCAGTCTACGTGTCACTTGCTTTTATCTGGAAAACTAGTTGCCTTGAGGCCAGTGTTTCCATAGAGCAGTTTTGCCTACCAGCAGCAGCAGGAGTACCAGGCGAACACATTCTTGAGGAAAAGAACCATTCTTGTTCCATATTTTGTTTGGCAGTTTTGTGTACCCTTAGCTAAGAGACTGAATTTGCTTCTTAGCTAAAAACCAAACCAACTCGGAAGGGTATTAGTGCAGCAATTTCAATGCAACAGATTTTTCCAGTATCTACAAGTACTGGCTCTGTTTATTTCTTGTTTTGATATGCAGTAGGACCAGTGATCTACTCTAAAAACATTTGCTTAAATTATTTTCCCATTCCTTCCAAAGCACTCCTAAAGCCTAGACTAAGACAACTTTACTCACCTTTGTTTGTCATATCCAGTGTTTCAATATTTCTTCTACATAATGTACAGCCCAGAAGATTTATGTTGCATCAAAACTATGCCAGGTTGTTTCACAGTATGGTAGATACGTTCAGTAGCATGGTAAGGAGAGAAGTCAGGATGTGGAGAGGAAAGGGCCAAAGTCTTCAGATGGGATGGGAGAGATACGAGAAAGGAGGCAGTTGTGCTAGCAGTGGAGACAGTGAGCCTAGTAATACGCAGACAGAGCAGTATGTCAGAAATGAGGAGGTTGATTGCTATAAATATGTAAACTCTTAACTGGTCAGTTAAAAATCAGATTTTTCTCTCAAAACATATTTCCCCCTTATTCTCTGTGGCCATGAATAGTAAGTTGAACAGCCGAAGTTTTATTCTCCATGGTGGCCTGCTCTCAAATCCTAACTGAGTTCTTATAAAATCCCTGGGGTTTTTTTTCCTTCTCTGGATATGGTGAGTTTTTGAGATGACGGATTTCTGAGTTGAAGCTGAAGGATAACAACAACCTTATGAAGGCTTTTCACTTTTGGAAGTAGTATTTTTCTTCCTGGGCATCTGCGCTGCAGGTAGAAATGCAGCGAAGTTGCTTGCTGTTCAGTCTGCCTGTGTAAGCCTGTTGCTGCATGGGGAGGAGAGCAGTGTGGAGCAGGCTGCCTTTATAGCATTTCTCTCATCTTTCTCAGATACAATATTGAGAGGATGCCAGATGACTACGGCGCTCCTCGATTCTAACCTCTCCAGCCAAGCCGTCAATGCCAGGACTCTGAGCCAGGACAAAGGGCCTTCTGGTTCCAGCCCTCCAGCCTCCTTTTTTGCTGGGACTCTGCTCATAGGACTGACTTCATAGCCTTGATCTTCTGAGAAAAAGCTGCTTGGAAGGCTCTTTTTATTTATCCCTGTTCTGACTTGGCCTGATTACCTATAGCTGGGAGAAGTGTATGGGAAAGAGAGGACAGCAGTGCCCAGAACATGCCTAACCCCCTCTTCATTTGGATCACTGGGAAAAGTGATTTCAGCCTTCCAGATTAAATATTGGTGATGCAACTCTGGCTGAGAATGAAACCACAGAAATTTTAGAAGTTTCTTATTGCTGCAGCTGCAGCAGGACAAGTATTCATTCCTCTGGGAGACTCCCTCACACCTGTCCCATGAGCAAATCGGAATCTGCATTCTGGAGAAAAGCTGTCAAATCTGCACCAGTTGGCTTGCCTTCTGTGGACCAGCGGTCCGGAAGATTTTAATTTGGAATTGATGAGCTTTTACTCAACTGTACAATGAATGAAGTTCGGTGACGTGTTCTGCTCGGATTCCCGTGTCTGTACTGGGTTAGCTGGCAGCCCGGTCCTTTTGCTTGTATGCAGAGTGGCGGTGGGAAGGCAGGGTTGGGTTGGGACAGATCTCTCCCTCTTGTTTGCTTGGCACCTGTGCAGCTCAAAGCCTTATCCCTTTCATTAGGTGTCAGGGAAGAGGAGGAAGGTATCAAACTGTGACAGGCAGGTGTGAAACTGGTAAAAGTATTAATGTGGGCTGGGAGCAGAGTTGGTGGGGGGAATCAGAGCAATGGCTGCAGATCAAGACTCTCACAGAGACCTGAAGCATTTGCTGCAGGGAAGGAAGTGGTCAGAGGAGGGAGGGAAAAGAGACGGTTAAGCCACATGGAGAAATGCAGGGGGAAAAATATTTCAAAGCCATAACTCTGCATTCTCATATCTTCTGCATTACTCTAATTTTTAGCAATATAATTTGCTCTTCTGATCTCTGTGGTGAGGAGAATTGTCTTAAGACTGAGAGGTGAGAGACAATATGAGGGTCACCAGGGGCCAACGTGCTGAAGTGTGCTTCTGGGCCAAAATGCTGGAGTTGAGTTATAGTAAAGAGGGAGACTGAAAATTTATATTCTTGGTATAATTAAGAACATTTCCAAACTTTAATAGAGGTTTTATCCTGTGGTGCCTTACACTGGTTTGGCTGCAGAGAATAGCTGAACTCAGCTGTCTGTATGCTGGACAGCATACAGTGAAGATGATACCTCTCCTCTGCTAATCATTTCCTGTCCTTGGGAAATGCCCTGGCGTGCTAATAACTTGCTTGCTAGCGTCCCGCCTCTGCAGATATTGCAGGAAACTCTGGGGAACACATCAGACGTACCCCTCGTGCTATCTCTTTGCTTGCTGCAAGCTCACCTATTAAAGTCATCCCTCAAGTAACAGCATACTGACACTCAAAACACAGCCCCTTCTGAGCTATCACAGTTGAAGTTTATCTTCTGCATCTACAGCCAGGAAGAGGGTAGGCAACAACCCTGAGGTTTTAAACTCTGTGTATAATTGTACAGTGTGTATAATTTCAAAAATAGTATCCTTAGTTTTCTTCTCTCAACCCAAGTCATACTTCTTTAAGCTAAATGTTTAAGTATTGTCATGAACGCTTGAAGACCGTGTTTAGTCAAATAAGGACTGAGAAATAGTTGTAGGATTAGATCTGTGTAACCTGGTTTTCAGAATAATTCTAGTTTTGAAAGACTTCACGTAGAGTTAACCAGAATTGTTCCTATGCAAATAACTTTGCTTGAATTAACCTAAATGGAAGGAGACTGGAGAAGAAAGAAATGGACACTCATGGTAGTATTTGGTAGAAGTCTTGCTGGCACTGGAGGAGAGGTCGAAGACACAGCGGCATGATGAATCTGGGGAATGTCTGCCTGCCAGCAGAATGCCCCGTTGAAGGAACTTCATGAAAATACATGTGTGTAGCATAAACTGGGGGTAGAAGTCAAAGCAAATGTGCCCATGTACTGAGGTCTTTTACTCCTTAAATTAACATTCCTTGTAATCTGCCTTGTTTTAGTAACAGAAGGAGGAACCTGGAATAGGCATAAGGGAATTGCTAAATAAGTGTTAAAAGGGTTGGAGGATGAGCAGCAGGAAGAAATTATTGGCAGTGAGTGAACCCATCAGGAGATTTTCATTAATTGAGTATAATCAGCAAGACAGAATAAACTTTGTTATTAACTCAAAAAGCCTAGTGTGAAGAGAAACAGGTCAGGAAAGGACTACCTGAGTCATCAACTGCTTCCCCTGCAGTCCCAGGGAACCTGTGTACCAGACACTTGGTTCAGAGGAAAATACTCCATGCACACTGTGGCGTCTCAACCTCAGATCCAACTTGCAGTATGTCAAAGGAGGAAAGATCATTGTAACAGGAGTTTGGTAAGCGAGAATGCTTTGATGTTCCTATGAATGCAGAACTCTGCCAGTCCAAATCAGAAGAGAAATTCCTTCCTGGCCCAATGCTGGCAGTTAGTTTAAACCTACACACGAGTTTGATATCAAACAGATGCCTGCAATGTTTCTCAGTAACTCTGGGGAATCCAGCCTCCCCTCTAACATCCTGTCTCTTGCTGTAGCCAGTTTCCATAGCTTCAGAAGACAGAGAACAGTCAGAAAAGCCACAAAAAGAAGGTCTGAAGTTATGCAAAGAATGGGAAAAAAAAATGTTTACTCCTTTCTGGGGACCACCAGAAGGCCCAAGATTGCTGCAGCGTTGCCGCCTGATGAAGTGAAGAAACTTAAGCTGCTGACCCAAGATGTGACGCTGGTTAATTGAGGGATAACCGAAGTGTAGTAGAATAGCATTTAGAAATGTTAGAGCTATTAAAAAAATCAACTCAAACCAGCATGATGTCATACATTAACGTTACAGACTGTGAAAGAATAAGAGGGCATAATGTGGACTTAACAGGGTTGCTTTAGGAGAAGGTCACATTGGGTAAAGCCAATGTATCTTGGCTGGCAGGAGTCAACTCTACTGCTGCCCAAACCAGATGTGGGTATTGACAAAAGCATCCATCATGTTATTTGGAAGTTACACTTCGGCCTCCTCAATGTAGGCTGGAAAATAATTGCCACTGAAAATGGTTGAGTACATGTATTTGTTTGTAAGGGAAATAACAGGTTTCTTCACAATATTGAGTAACCACAAGAGACAGCAAGAATACAGGGAGAGACCTGCCTGCAGGAAATAACCTTGAAGAAACTGATCACAAGAGAACTCACTTGGAGTGAATTGATCATGAGGATGAATCAAAGGATGTTTGCAACAGGAATTCCCTGTTTTGAAAGGACAGACTTTCAAAAGCTTAGTGAGCAAACCGTCCCAAAGAGCTCAGGGGTATAAATGTTAAGTACGTGTATAATGTGGAGGAGATGGGGGCTAAAAGTACAAATGCTATCTGGAAGTTATATTCACTGCAAGAGAAATCTTGGACGAGCACCACCCTATACAGAAAAGGATCAATAATCACCTCTAGATGAAAAGAAAGGATACTAAAGAATAGAAAAGACATTTCTATGTGTATTAAATTAATTAAGGTAGTTTTCTTAAAGATTTACATCTCGTAACCTGAGTTCACACTCTAAGCTTTGCTTGTAGATTCATGGTGTATCACCTTTGTGGATTCCCTGGAATTTAACAAATGAACACAAGTCCAGTTTTTCCAGCAGAGAGGACAAAACTTTTTCTCTACCTAACAATCTGATTTTCCTCATTTTTCTCTTGACTGAAAATTCTTTGGACTTTTCCTCCAACACCTGCCTTTCTCTACTGCCCAGGGATCCTTGATTCAGCAGCCATGAACTGGATTGAGCATGAGAAAAATTGCTCAGGTTTTCTGTATTTGGGAAGGACAGCAAGCAGTGAGACACCCCATTGCTGGTGTACTGCTGACCAAAACAGTAGCCACTAGGCTCCACTCTCCAGCTACTTGAAATTCACACGCACAACCCCTCGTGTCTTTTCTCTGCAATGGGAGTTCAGCACTTTGCATAAATCTGTGCTAACTGGCTACAGGACACACGTGTATGTTTAACTTGCACTTCAGTGTGGGAGGAGAGACACAAGAAAAAAATGCTTTCCTGCTCCTCAGTGCAGTTGCTTCTGCAACGAATGAGGCCATTTCACACATCCGCTGCACCATTCTCATTGTTGCCTCTCAGCTTTATCACCAGCGTATTCACTGAAAGCAAAATCATTCACGTCATTTCTAAGGGATGGACCACCTGTCATCGCCCCCGTCCCCGTGCAGGGGCTCCACACCGTTGTTTGCGAGGCCGCGGGACCGTTCGCGCTTGTGCACCTTTCCAGCTCAGCTGGGTTTGTGGCCGCGCTCATGTCACCCCTCAATCGCTACAACAATTAATCGGCGCTGCCATCGCACCTCGGTGCGGCTTTA